CCTACCCGCCTGCTGCTCCCCTCAGCAGTGTATTTGAGTAGATCTGCCTGTTCTGCTCCCCACTCTGGTTCTGTGAATCCTCTCCCCTCTCCCCATCTCTGATGCATACCCCAGTCCGTGTATGCATAAATAAAAATAAATTTAAAAAAAAGGGCAAAGCATGGAAAGGGAGATAATAGTAACTTTATAGAGAAGTCTGATGAGCAGCATCTCCACCAGTGATCAAGACCGACAGCACCCATGTCAAGGCAAAGATCTTCCTGGCTATGTATTATGTGATGAAAATAGTACTTTATCTTGGTGTTCTTCTTCCCCCTAACCCACTTCAGTCTAACGAGTAAAACTTCAGACAAATCTATATGAGAACCCTTCCACAATGTACTTGGACAATGTTGCTCGAAAGTGACGAGGTCGTCAGCTTTTGGGAAATGACCATAGGCTAGAGGAGTGAAAGGAGACGTGAAGACTGAGTGTATGTCTTTTATTTTTTTTTAAGATGATTTATTTATGCATACAAGAACTGGGTACAGGCCAGAGGTGCAAGAGGTGCGCGAATTTACCAGAGACAGAGTGGGGAGCAGAACAGACAGATGTACTGAAATATACTGCTGAGGGGAGCAGTGGGTGAAACAGGAGAGGTCTGCTGCACCATGTGGGTCACCTCCCTGGCTGGGGATCCAACTCATGATGCGGTGGCTGTGGATCACCTCATATTGCTGCACTTTAACCTTTTGGGCCACCAGGGAGGGCCCCTGAATAGATGTCTTGAACAGGACCTGGGAACAGATCCTGGCCCTTAGAAAATCCATATCAATTATCAACTGTAGTTAATAGTAATGTACAATGTTAATCCACGGCTGTGAAAAATTGTGCTCGATTGAACACAATAGGGGACACTGGGTGCAGCTGGTGTGTGTGTTCTCTCTGTGCTCGTTGGAGCTTCCTGTAAATCTAAAGCTATTTAAAAATGAACAGGTAGATGAAGAAATCCTCATGGTGCAGATGAAAATGCAAAATGGTAAAGTCAGAGCCTGCATTTGCTTATCAAACATCCCCTCACCCTGTGACTCAACGCTTCTACCACATGGTGTTTGCACAGTGAAATGAAAACCTCCACTCATACCGAAGCTGGTACATGGTGCACAAGGATGTCTAACTGCCCTATTCATAGTCCCCCAAACTGGTAAGAGTTCACACGTCTCCAGCTAGTGTGTGGGCCCCCGTCAATGGCGGAGCCTTACAGGGAGGTGCTGTTCAGCATCTCCTAGGAATGAGCGCCATAGACGTGCAGCAGTGCCGAGGAAGCTGGGAAACATGATGCTGAGTGGAAGATTGGGCTCAGAGGCTTTTGCCAACCTGAAAGGGACAGAAACAAATGCTGCTGGGAGCTCGAGGTCAGAGGGTGAGGTGGACCCCAAAGGCTAGAGGGCACTACTGAGATGATGGGATTATTCGAGATCTTGCCCAAGGTCCCGATGACACCCCAATCTCTGTGTATCAGAACTCAGGGAATAGCATACACATAGAGGGGAACTTTGCCGTGTGTAAATTACACCTTCACTGACAAATGAAGACAGAAACACCAGCAGCTCAGGGGTGACTGGGCAACAAGGGATCCTTAAGGTCTTCTCCCATTCCTGCGTTTTTGGTGACTTCGTTTCCAGCTGCTCGGTGTGCCAGAAGGGTGCATTTATGGTTTTATGTGACTGTCACTGTGCTGCTGTGTGCTTGGAGACTCAGAAGCAGGAGCCATAGTCCAGCGACAAACAGAGGGAGCAGAGCAAAGACACAAGGGCCGAGGACAGGACGTGGTGTCTGAAGGTGGCAGCGTGTGCGAGGCGCTTGCCGATGACCTGCTTCTGATCCTACTGCACAGCTGGGCAGATTCACTTTTGCTTGATGCCTTTTAGGTTACAAAACTCTCTGGGGCATTCATTTGGGCTCTGCACAATGCCTCTGCCACCTGGGGGCCAGGTGTTGTCACCTCCTTTGTAGTGCTGTGCTTTAGCCTGCTGCGCCACCAAGGAGAGCCTCTGTCACCTCCTTTTTAAGGTGGGTGATGCTCAGATTTCTCTGTGTAGGTCAACTGTGTACAACACGTGGTAATTTTTGATGTGGTCGATACTACTATTTCACATATTTATAGTTAAGGAATAAGCTTTACTGATGAGAAGACTGAGGTTCTAGAAATTTCCCAAGATCGTTTAACGATAAAGAACCAGAGTTTTAACGAATTAACTAATATGAACCAGAGTTAAAAATGCCAATGTTCCGGTCACAAATCTATTTCCCATGTCCTGGTTATGGGAATTTTATGCAGACTTTATTTAAAAATCATTTAAATGAATGGTTTTTTGTCCTGCATCTTTGCTCTTTTAATGTGTGTGGCGAGTTTGAATTAGCGTCTGTTCCCAGAGCCCGTTCCTCCATGTGGTACGCGAAGGCCGTCTTGCTCCCTGTCTTCTCCTCTAGTAATTGTGGGGGCTTGGCAGGCAGTCGAGTCTTTGCGCCCTCTCAGCCTCTTGTGTTTGGATAGTGTCTGAATATATGAGAACTGTGTGTATTGAAAGCTGTGACTTCCAGAAAAAAGGTCTCCTCCATGTAAACACGAAAGGGGGTGATTTTTCAACAAACACTAGAACAGCTTAATCAAAATGAGTATTTTACTTTAGAAGGTTGTGTTGACAGGGCATCCCTCCGTATGCAGCTGGGACAGTGTCTGCAGAGCAGAACTGAACCAGAACTCATTCTCTGGACAGGCTCGTCGCTGCAGGGTAGACTGGTACAGAGACATCTTGCACCCTGGGTCCCTGGTCTGGACAGCCGCCTGGCAGGACAGCTTGGTCCAGATCATGCAGGACCTGGCCCATCCCTAGACTGTACTTCCTCACTCCTTTCCTCATTTCTTCTCACACTCACCCCACCCCAAATGCCACCTGAGCCAGCTCCTGCTTGCTTGCTGACTGGTATTTCTCTCTCTGTGCTGTGCTGTGAGCTCTAGGACAGCATCGCTTTCTTCCTCTTGTTGTCTTATTACCCCCCACCCCACCCCCAGACAGCCTACTGGGGAGGGCTGGTCACAGGGAGCCTGAGACTGGAGCTTTCTCCTCTCAACTCACCCAATGATGTTTCAGAACACACCTGACTGACAGGGGTTTAAGGAAGCACCTCTTGTCTCCAAGCCCGAGAGGAAAAGAGTCAGAGAATCATTGAACCTTAATTATGATGAGGACAGCCTCAGAAAGATTCTAGCCACCCCACAATTCACACATCCTTTCAGAATCCCTTTGCGTGTTCCACCAGCCCAGCTTAGTTATTTTCAGCAGAATCTGAAAGGAAAATACCAAGAGTGTGAGTGAACTTCCTTTAGAATGAAGGAGAAACAGGGCTCCTTCCTCTTGGTGTTTGGTCTCATAGGAAGAATGTCAGTGAGTCTTGTTCCAGTCCCAGAGAAGCAGATGCCCCAGCCTGCATTACCTTACTGTCCTGGTGTGATGGAGCAGGTGCAGGACCAGGAGTCTAGAGATATGATCCTGTCACTTAAGCCCCTGGGAGAATGAGCATCGCCTGTGTCTGTGTCAGTGAAAGGGCTGGTTACTAATGACTTCAGGCTAAATGCTCATTTCCACCACCATCTATTAAGTCAGCCCAACCCTGAGCCCCAGACTTGCATGGAGACACTGAATCTTCCTTTCCTCTATCACACTCCCAGAGAAGCCTCACTCCCAAAGCAGCATGTGACCTTGAGCCTGTCTGGTACGTGTGAGTGTTGCCTGTCTCATTAGACAATAACAACCCCCCCGCCTGATCCCGCTCCAATAGAGGACACTGATCTCATCCACTTTCTTCTGTCTCCCCACCACACCTGACACCCAGGCCCCACACACTGTGGTGCGGTGTCTTTGGCCTACAGTACAGGCTTTCTGAGGCTAGATGGCACTGTTGCCAGGGCCAAGTCAGGTGTATTTGGAAACAGCACTGAGGAGGGAAGAGCAAGGAGAGGAAGGGCCTGGAACATTCACTTGCTGATGTGATTCAGACTCTCTGCTGAAGTGTGGAGGACACCACTCTTTCTGTCGTAAGATGCTTTGCTGTTTTCACCCATCTTCACAGACATGGCTCAGATGGTCTTCTCCACAGCCACAGTAGCAGACAGGCCCTGAATTCTCACTGCATAGAACCAAAGTGCAGAGAAATCAAGGGCCTGAACTAAAGTGATAAAGGATTAGTTGGAAGAGATTTTTTTTAACCCTTCCTACCTTATTTCTATCACCATGCCAAATGAGGGTCCTCAGAGGATGCTTGAGGGGACTGTGGCCAGGGGTGTGGGTGTACCCCAAGAATGGGCTGGTGAACTGGACTGTTTGAGAAGTGGTGGGTTCTCAGCCAGAATGACTGAGAGGCATCAATCAATCAGTTAGTGGCCCCTGGAAATGTCTGCTCTGTGACCAGGGTGACTTCAGTCGTTGTGTGGGAGTCAAATGACACCCCATAGAGTTCTTTGAAGAAGAAAACTTGTGGATAATGTGTACACATATGAGGAGCCACAGCTGCTGGTAAAAGGTGCTGTCCTGGGGTGAGTTGTGTGGAATCTAACCACGGCTTTACCAGGTTCACGAGTTTCTCATGAAAACACAAGTGATTCCTCCTGTGTGGTGCGCATCAGTGTCCTGTGTGTGCCTGTCTGACAGATGAAGAGCTTGAGTGTCAGACATGCAAGGGCCACCTCCAGGGTCACACGACTGATAAGCGAGTGAGCCTCCCCCTCAGAGCCTCACATCCAGTCTTGTCCTTTCACCATGGTTCTCCCAGGCAATGTCAGTTCATCTAGAAATCAAAAAAATCGGGGGAGGGGCATTGTTGATATGGAGGTAAGGTGTCAGACAATAGAGAATATGTGTCCGGATGAATCGCTAGGATATAAGTTTATGTAAATTGAGAAAAAACAAGTGTCAGTAATTTGTGCCTTCTGATTGTCCCTTCTCTCCTCTTTTTCCCAGGATGACGATGAAGATAAGCTGAGCTGGAAAGATCGTTGCCCGGGTTACTTGATGAACTTTGCCTCCATCTTGTTCATGGTAATTTCCTCTAGGGGACACCTGCCTGTGACGTATGCATGTAGGTCCTGTTATGTGAATGTGTGGGCGTGTTGTTCTGTTCTCCTATGTGGAAAATGGGTGAATAAGGATGAAGTCCCAATCCTATCATGAGGGGTTGGAGCTTACCTGACAGTGACAACATTACTGCTGTTGTCCATTTTGAAAAGGGAAGGCTCCCTAGTCCCTCAGATAGAAAACTGGGCCTGGGGTTGGTCTTCACCGGATGTCAAGGGACTTCGCTCCTCTAGGTGGGGGAGGAAGCCTAGCAAGGGTTCTGTCTTCCTTAACCACACATCTTTGAAGTTGGTGGGTGGTAAGATGGTGGCTTCCACATTGAGACAGGCTAAGGCCTGGGAAGAAGTCATCCAGGTAATGTGGCAATAGAATTGTGGCAGCTGTTTGGACTGTGGACCGGTTCTCTCTCGTGGCTGGTAGAATAAAATCGTGTCTGGAAGCCACGGGAGGTAGCTCTCCTGGGCTCTGTAGGCTGGTTCTTTAGTTTCCCTAGTGCTCTGTTTACTTTCCTGGGTTCTCTCAAAGTTTGGGAGGGCCTCCTTGAAAGCTCTAGATAGTCTCTACTGTTTCAGAAAGGGCAAGGAAGGGGGAAGTAATTACTACTGGAGTTAGATTAGTAGAGTGGTAGCAGGCCATTGTTGGGAGTCAAGGTAGGCAAGATCCTAGTACCAGAAGTAAGGAGAGCTAGGGAAGGTGAGACTCGGGGGAATGGACTTGGGTCTATAAGACAGCTTCCTGCTCCTCACGGGTTAGCGTCCTTTCAGTGTTCTGTTTGACAGAGGACTGTGTCCTTGACAGCTTTGCCCAGCAGGACGGCACATCCATTGTGGAGTGAGGGAGGGATGGTTTATTCTAAAACTTGGGACTGAAATCATCATTATTTTCTGAACCTACAGCCCAGAGGTAACCCTAACCTTGGCCTGAGGTTATTGCCATTATTATTCCCATAATGACTATTGACGACTGTGACCTTGTCTCAGAAATTTAACAAGTGAAGGAAACGTAGACACCATCTCCTCCTCATTCAACTCCTGTTTCACAGGAGAGGTGCAGAGGTGATGAAGCCTTGCCAAGACTTAGAAGTCTGTGTTTGTTATCTTCTCATTGCTCAGCAAGAACAAGGCATGTGGGACGTATTCCAGAATGTGTGGTGAGCTGCGGTGGGTTATGCTGGAATGACATGAAGCTTAACTTAGCACTCTCTTCCACCCACGAGTGTATTGTTGCCACAGAGTTTGTTCATTCAGGAAATGTTTGAATGCCAACTACATGCTTGCCATTTTTAAGCTTGACACCCTGGACACTCTCTCTAAAGTACTAGAGATGCAGCCGAAAATAAAACAAAATAATCCCTCCTTTAGAGGGTCTGCAGTTCACAAAGATGCCCACAAGTAAGAAAACAGAGAAGTAAAAGGGTTTGCCTACAGAAGTTCTAGGTTAGGATATTTTTTGACATTCCATTGCATGGAAAATATCAAAAAACATTGGATAGATGTATTTTTCTGTCTTAAGAAAGCCTTCAAGGATGGACGGGATCATAAGGGATACTAGAACCAAATCTAAGGGAAGTGGGCACCAAGGTGTGGAATCTGAGATAAGGGGTCTGCATGCAACTGATGGGGTATTTTTTGTTTCAGAACTAGGGTAAGAAAACTACAGCATCACACAAGTGGCGTGTCATTTCCGCCTCTATTCCCGCCACTCGGCCGTGGCTGGAGATGCCAGGACCAGGCATGAAAAGTCTTTAGGGATGCCAGTCTGACAGATCAACTGGGCACATTTTCATAGGATAATGGTAGCCAAGAAGGGACTCAGGGCAGAGCCCCGCATACCCACTTGGTAGAGAATAGTGGGCACCAATATGCATTTTCTTTCTTCTCCCACCCCGTGAGTGTTGAGTTTGTTTCTGTCTTTGTTGAATGTTTGTTTTTCTTCTATGTGGGGGGAATTATCAGGGGCCCTATACTTGCTCTTCAACTAGCTGCTTGAGCTTCGCCTATGCTGAGACAACCACACACTTGTTCCATAGAAACTGGCCTGCAGAAACCCTCCTTTATCACCAGGATGTTAACAACTCAAGGGCAACTCATGGCTGGCCACTCTTCAACCCTCTCTAAGGGCTTCCTGTCTCCTGTGGCGTGGAAGCAGACAGATGTACACTACAGGGCTGACCAGTCTATGTCCTCTCCTCCTGGCTAGCTCCGCCCCGGCCCTCCCTCTTTTTCATTCTGCTCTCGCCTCGTTCTGCCTGGAGCTCTTCCTCTTGTTTCTCCCTTTAAGTCCTGCTCACCTAGGCCTTTCTCAGTAACCTAAATTGCAACATTTTCCCCATGCCCTGCATTATTTTGTTTCTATATTCATCATTCCAGATAGGCTGTGTAATTTACCTATTTATTCATTTATTGTCCATCCCTCGATCAACTCCCTCAAGCAGAAATTTCTGTGTCTTTTGCTCCCTGCTGTATCTTTGACACCTAGACCTGGGTCTGGCACGTAGTAGGTGCTCAAGACATGTTTTGGGAATGACTAAGTGGGAACATAAATGAATAAAGCGGATGTCAGAGACACTTCCGTTATGTTAGTACTATGTCATGGGGCCTGACCTAGACTGGACACCTGCCATTGGTTCAGCAGAGGGTGCTCTGCCTTGGGCATTCTAGCTGCTGCTCCTCCTCAGCCCTCTAAGTCTCTGCCATAGTATGAAACTGCCCCAAAGCTGCCTCCACAGAGTTTTCTCTGAGTCATCGCCTCTGCACTCTGCTCAGAGCTTACCAGAAGCTCGTGCATCGAAGCCGTGACTCTGTCCAGCTGCTACTGGGCTCACCCTTGATGCCCTGGCTATTGTCAGCTCAATGTCAGCATGCAAGGCCTGGGGGGCACCGTCCAGGCCAGCTCTTTCCTGTCTCTCTCGTCGTGTCAAACAGGACTCTGGGCTCTGTGGCCTGGCTGATCCTGAAAGTTGCTGTGAAAGTCAAACTATGGGATGAAAGCATCAAAAGCAGAAAGGGTCACAATACTGTGGCCACGTGCAGGGGTTGGGGTTGCCAGAGCAAGGATCAGCAAGGCGTGGCCAAAAAAGTTCCACATGTGTGGAACCTGAGGCCTGAATGCAGTGAATGCCCAAACCCCACTTCTGGCCTAATTGGGGGGCCCATCACGAAATAGAACAGCACCATAAGTGGCCAGAAAATCCATAATGGAGCCAAAGTGGTGAAAAAGCATTGGACTTGGTGCCAGAATTCTAGTGTCAGAATGGGATTGCACACGTGGGAGTTGTGACGGAGGCCCCAAATCCCGGATGGTCAGGAAGTGGCCTCCACAGACAGCTCATCTGGCATGGCTCTTATATAAGGATTAGTGCCGATGGACCAGGGCACCGAGTAGTGACCCAGCAAGGGTATATGCCCTCAGCTATCTTGGTGAAGACAACCTCACCATCACTCTCTCCATGTCCTCCAGAGGGGGGACGCATCATACGGCTGCTGCCTGGGCCTCGGCTTCCCAACACGTCAGACCAGAGGCTGAACACAGATGATTCCCAAATGCCGGGAGACTAGTCCATGCCTATGACCTTGAGCCACTAACTTCATTTTACGTGTCTGTGTTTTCTTCTGCGAAACCTCCTCGAGACTGCACTGGCTCACTGGTTCCGAAACTTCCAGCTTGGAAGCTGCGAGTCTTGTGGTGCTTATGGGAAACCCCAGAGGAGAGGGTCCAAGCATGAGGGTCCATCCTGGGTGGGAAATGAAGAGCAGTGAAGTTGAGGGCATAAAGAACAGCGTTAGAGGGCTGGGGCAGGGTCTGGAGATGGACCCTGTGGGCTGGAGGGCAGAAAGGACTTTCCTAAGTGAGCAGAGCAGTGCTTCTGGAACTTGAACTTGAATGAAAATCTTGTTAAGTCAGTATGTCTGGAGTTGTGTTGGGTGTGTGTGTGTTGGCGGGGGTCCTGTGTGCTTACCAAGCTCCTGTTGATGCAGCAGGCCCATGGATCAGACTGTGACTAGCAAGTGTCCTTCCTTCCCCGCTTGGAGGGCTTCTTCCGCCAAGCCCCACCCCATGGCCCCCAAGCAAAGTATCTCTGCCATTCTTGTTTCCTTCCATTCGAATTCCAAAAACATGTTGCGCACTCTCTCTCTCTTTCTCTCTCACACACACACAGATACACACACTTTTAGATGCCCTGGCCTCTCCCGCCTCATCAATACTTGTATCACTGACCTTCACTGCAAAAGTGATTTTGGGGGAAAGAATCTCACACCACATTTTCCAGTCCCTTACTGTCTGGCAGCGACAATCCCACAGGCGAGAGTGCTAATGTCTGCATTGTTGGCGAGGGTGATGTCATGGCCAGGTCTCCCCAGTCCATGGTTGTCCTTCCTTCCGGCCCCAGCACGGGAGGCTGGTTTCTGCTGCTCCCACCCACCCCCACTCTGCGTCAGAAGAGGGGCCTCCCACAAGTGCTTTTCCCATCTAACCTCATCTCCACCCTGACACACAAGCCCACACACAGTCACACACACACACACTCTCTCTCTCACCAGAGGACGCTGCCTCCCTGGCTTCTTTTTCACACCATGGCCCACAGAACAAACACTAATATTTGTGAAGTACACACGGGGATAAAACTGAGGTTGCCCCCAGCCCCCCATCCCCAAGTTGCAGCACTCCCAGGCACCCCCTTCACAGGTCTGAAGACACACCTGCAGCCCATTCCCATCCGCAGCCCACCAGAGTGTCATTCACACAGCTTGTGAGCACTGCCCAAGCCGGGGCCCTCCCCTCCCCCTCCACACCTCGCCCCCACCAGGGAAGGAATTTTGTGCAGTCCAGGACACTGGTTTTTCAGAGGAATTCTCTCTACCTGACCCTTTATCTCCCCACATTTTCCTCCACTCGCTACAGCCAGCACCCTCATCCCTTGGCCCCAGAGGAAATAGGACCTGAACGGCCTGCTTTGCAGAAAGAATCCTCAGAATGACTTCACTTGACTGAGACAAATTACAATTTTTCTCTGAGCAGGTTTTCCACCTGGCAGCTCCCAGCGCCCCCTCCCCAGCGCTCGAGAGGCTCAGGGACACTTTCTTCTTGCAGCACCACGTGCTTCATGGAAGTGGCCTTTCTTTGGCTGTGGTGGGGGAGGGGCACAAGTGGGGGGAGAGGAAAAGGGAGAGGCTGTTGGTCTGATTTTGGAGAGAGCCTTATTATTCTTCGATTTTAGAGAGAGGAAACGGGGTGGGGGGGTCCCTTAGAAGTTCAAGTGGCTGGTAAGCTTTCCTTTTAAACGAGGCAGCCAGAGACTTCTGTACCAAAGGAGAAATCTGAGTCCTCATTCAGCCTGCCTGGTGGAGAAATGTTAGAGTGATACTGTGTTCGCCTAAGACTGAGAGTCTACAAGACCTCCTCCCGGCTTTTCTCCATTCCTCCTCCTTCCGGCAGCCTTCCTGAGCCCACATCATCATGCTCTAAGGCTCCCCCTCTGCGCTGGAAAACGGGCAGAGGCTCCGCCTCCCCGTGCTAAATCCCACTTGTCCCACGCACTGGCATGCTGTGCCCTCATCTGCTTGCTCCTCTGAGTCCTCAGTCCCAGCAGCACCCCACTCTTCACTTAGCCCTCATGGGCGCCTTCTCGTATTATTACTAGGGTTTGATGGGAGCTCGTTTTAGCTCCACAGTATGTTGAAGACCCTCTAGGGAATGAAATCACAACATGTGAGCTGTCTGCTGCAGGTGTGTTCATCTTGCGTGTGTGTGTATGTGTGTGTGTGTTTGTGTGTGTGTGTGTGGTCGGTCTTTTGGCGTCTGATGAAAATGGAAGGCATTGCCCTTTGGAGAATGCACCTGCCTTCCGAATTTGCATAGTTGTTCAGAGGGTTTGCTGTTCCCTTTTTGCCCACCCGTGGACAATTGAGTAACACCTGATGTAGCAAATAGTACTGTTGGCCGAGCAAACAAAAGGTGCCCCACGACTGCCTGCTGATGTGTGGCCGTCTGTTTCACCTGCACAGATCGCCCTGACGTTCTCCATCGTCTTTGGCGTCATCGTGTATCGGATCACCACGAAAGCCGCGCTGTCTCTCAACAAGGCCACACGCTCCAATGTCCGGGTGACGGTGACGGCAACAGCGGTCATCATCAACCTCGTGGTCATCCTCATCCTGGACGAGATCTATGGTGCTGTGGCCAAGTGGCTCACCAAAATCGGTACTGTCTTCCCACGTTTGCCCTCGGCCCCCTTGAATGTGGTCAGCTCAATGTGTGTGTGGTCTTTGAGGGTAATAACTCAGCGGGGCGGGAATAAGATGGCTGGACGGTGCCTCTGAATGGGAGAATGCGGACGTGCAGAGGTCATGTGCTTGGAGGCTGCCTGGGCACCTTCCTCAGGCGGAGCTCCCTCCTGTACTTCGTCAGTGGCAGTCTTCTGGCTCCGTAGATTGTTTCTCTATCCCTGAACCATCAGTTGGGGTCTGTTTGTTCTCCCCCGAACAGGACAGACAGACTGGACACTTCTGTCCAATGTGCACAACCATACCTCTCCTCATTTTCCCAGCGCCATTCATAAAGTTGAGAAAGGCTCTTGATACTTGAGCCCAGGAGGGTCTTATCTCTCCCCGTATTGTCAGAGGCCCAGAAAATCCACACATTCCCCACGCACTGAGCAGACTTCAAAGAGGCATATCAGACTTCCCGAGCTCTAAGCCAGTGAGGAAAATGCAGTGTCCTCAGCATTCAGACATGTCATTTGAGCCGAGGCTGCTGTTGCCTGAGTGCCCATTTTTGGCACTTGTGCCGATTAGATGGGGGGTGGGGCCAGAAAGTCAGACTCTTCCCTCATCAGATTTACTCTGGGTGGCCTCTCTGCACCCTCTCTGACTGCAGGGCTCAGAGTCTCAGACTCTCCTGACCTCAGGGATGTTGAATTTACGACACGAGGTCTTTAATTCCCTGGCCAGGTAGCAGTCAGGCGCCGGAGAGGATCACCCCTTGCCAAGTCAGCCTTCCCTGGGGTGTCAGAGGATTCAGGAAATGTTTCCCTAATCCAGAGACTCTTCTAGCACCTTCCCTGTTGGCCTCGACCCGCGACCCACTCCTGCTTACCATTTAGATGGCAGTTCTGCACTTACATAGTTGTGTTATCTGTTTTTCTGAGTCATAAACATTTTGAGAAAAGCAGACAGAATGCCAACTCTGTGTACTTAGTAGCAGACGGCGGGAGTCTGCAGAAGTGAAAGGAGGAGCTTCCCGCACATCGGAGGGCTGGGGAAGCTTCACAGGCATCCCGCGGAGAGCTCAGAGCTGGGTGACCGGGCAGGCTCAGGCGCACGGAGGTGAGAGCAAATGGTCAACCAGGAGTCCCCCTTCCTCCTACAGTTAGGTCTGTATCTGGCTGCTCTCCCACCTGATGTCCCTGCTCTGGTCTCTAGCCTTTCTCTGTGGGCTTGGAAATTATCTTGGAAATCCCTGCCCGGTCAGCCTCTCTCAGTGAGCTTGGGGACACCGTTTGCAGCCAGCCCCCACAGAGAGCTGGTTTTTCAGATCAGATATAAATACACTTGAGGCTCTCAACCACCTTCTCCCCACTGCCCTCCTCCACCACAGCCCACCCACTCAACTCAGTCTCCCCAGAATCACTGTGTGTTGTCCCTGCCAGTGCCTGTTGTAACTGCTGGAGCACCCCCAGCGATCCCCACTTCAAGAGGCCCTCTCCGGGCCTCCTCTCTGAATGCTTTTCGGGACACTCGGCCCTCAGGGAGTGCCCCCCCACCCCCAACACACCTCTGAATATCTCAGGCAGATAGTTGACTGTTGCTCACCCCTCAGAGGTTGAGTGAGCCCCTGCTTGGGCCAGGCATGGTGCTGGGGACCTCTGGGCCCCTGATGGCCCCTGCCCTCACTGCACCAGAGGAAGGGAGAGAGGGACAGTGATCCACCACTCATGCAGGTGAGAAAAACAGGGTGATGGGCTAGTGGTTTGGGGTCATGTACTTTGGGCCAAAGGGCTGGGAAGGGCCTATGAGGGGGTGACGTTAGACCCGAACTCAAGCACATGGAGATCTGGAGGGGGGCTCTAGGAAGAGGGGCAGCAAGGGCCGGCCGCAGGCAGGACGGCGTGGGGCGCACCCCTCCGCTCGCTGCACGTGTACAGCTCGCCGTCTCATTCCGGCACCTGTCCTGCTTCCTCAGGCTTAGGAGTGGAGGACGCTGGTCTTAGGCTCTGGCCACACTGGCAAGGTCAGTTCACACACTTGCTCCAGGGCGCTTGGTCACAGCCTGCAGGCCCAAGGGGGAGCGAACCACGGGGCCCTGCAGCGGTTCAGTCTGGAGGGGGCAGCCGTCACCTCTGCTCCCAGCACACAGGCTAGAACGCTGTCCCACGAGTCCGGGGAGTTGTTCGTCTTGCTCCTGCCAGGCTCCACTGCCCTGGAGAATAGCTCCTTTGTCTGCGTGCTGGCAAGTGCCGGTCCACCTGCCTCAGAGGTCTCAGCGCACCTTGCACCTCGCACCTCGGTGGTGAGCTCTTGGTGAAGTACATCTCTTTTCATTCACATGGACAAAATATGCCTCTTGAGAGAGGCCTGGAGGCAAGGGACCCTGTCAGCCAAGGTTCTAGGGAGAATTTACGACCATGGGCGTTTCAGCACTGCCTTCTTAGAAGAGCTTTGGGGGCCTGCTGAGCTGACTAGGGCAAATGCCACAGCCAGTGGCTGAAGGTGTCACAGAGGGAGAAACTGGCCCTGGTGACACAGAGCCACTCAGGGAATGGAATCCACATACGGGGAGGGCGGCAGACCTGCAGGCAGCGGGGGGACTTCAGATCCCCCAGGGCCTCCGGGGGGACATGGAGCAGGATCGTGCCACCTCACGGGACGAGGACCCTGTCAGCGTGGGGACGGCCTGCCATTCTCACGCTGCATCTAATACCCGCCTGGCGTCCTGCCCCAGACCCCTGATTGATGAGGAGGCTGAGAGTACGTGCTTTGCTCACCAGGTGCAAACAGCTGGTGTAAACAACCCCAATAAGTTCACAAGTGTTTCCCATAAAGCTGGGTGATGGAAGAATGACAGATTTCCTAGGAGCATCTCTCCATGGGCCCAGGCATCCGGTCTATTTGAGGTCCATTCTCCACAGATACTTAGGACAAAAGACAGAATTTGTTAATTGCCTTGAGAGTGGACTCAGCAGTGGTAGATGAAGACATCTGATAAGACTGATAGTCTGGACTAGGGCTGAAGACATGCCGTCATCTGGGGGCTCCGTAGTGCTAGCGAGGCAGGGGCTCGATGCAAGCCTGTGGTTGGGGGGGGCTGCTAGAGAAATGCATGAGGCGCTACAGGCAAGCCATGCTATGCAAAGTGGGTAGCCAGGCTCGGGTCGGCAGGCATCAGTGACTGAAGCTTGCGAGGATCCCAGCAGGTGGGCGGGGATGTCTGCACCCCAGTCATATGTTGACTCCTGCAGGATTCACAGGGGTAGTTGTAGGGAAAAGACCCAGTTCCTGAGAAGGGCCCCAAGCACCCAGACCAACAGAACAGGGCTCAGCATCACGGGAGGCCAGGCAGCAGTGTCACCCCACGGCCCGGCTCATGGGGTACCCTGATTTAGTCTGTTCTCTGGCTGTAATGACCAAAGGCTGGGGGCTTGTCAATAATGGCAATTTATTGCTTACAGCTCTGGAGGCTGGAAGGCCATGATCTGGGTACAGAAGAGTTGGGTGAGGGCTGGGTGACCTCTTTTAGGCCACAGACTTTTGCTGTAGCCTCTTGGTAGAAGGGACCTGACATGAGGGGTCTCCCTGGAGCTGCTTTTCAGAGACACTAGTCCCAGCCACAGGAACTAAGCTACCCTTGGGACCTAAGCATCTCCCAAAGCCTCCACCTCCTCTTGCAGTCACCTCTGTCGTTAGCCTTCCAAAGGGGGGTGAGGGGAGAGGGAGTGGCTGGTGAGACATGTCTCTCTTCATTCACATGTTCAATAAATTGAGGGGAGGATCATTCAGAGCATAGCACCTTGTCTGGGCTCAGGACACAGGGATAGACTTGCAGGCAATGAAGTTCTGAGCCCACACATCGGGGAGTGAGGTAGCTCATGCTCCTAAAAGTGTCGTGATGACCGAGTAGACATGGTGGGGGGGCCTGGAAGAAGGCCTGTCCAACTCAGGCTGTGGGGGGTTCTAGCTGGAGACCCTACGGGGAGGCAGACTAGACACCAGGCTTCTAGGCTGGATAATCCAGCTCTCATCAGCTTCATCCTCAAGCTCCCCTCTTATCATCTCCTCTTATTTTCACAGTGTTGGGGACAGTGAGGAAATGTGTGGTTCATCTTTCACTCCCTACTGAACCTCTCCGAGTAGTAGGGCTGGGCTTATTGTCGGCCCTTGAGAAACGATTGTGTCAAATCGAATTTGACACATTTGATGCTCCAGTTCTTATGAAAATGGGTGTATCTGGGAGCTGTTTACATATCACTGATGCCCTTTGACCAAGTTTTGCCTCCCCTTGTGTTACTGAAGTGGGGCCAGGGAAGGGACAGAGGGAAGGTGGGGGAGGGATCTGATTTTTTTTCTTTTTAAAGATTTATTTATTTATTCGTACAGAACTGGGGTACAGGCCAGAGATGTGGAGGGGGTGAGAGGATTCACCAGAGACAGAGTGGGGTGCAGAACAGGCAGATCTACAAAGCACACTGCTGAGGGGAGCAGCAGGCAGGTCAGGAGAGGTCTGCCATGCCATGTGGTCACCTCCGGGGCAGGCGGGGATTGAACTCATGCGGAAGTGGCCCAAGCTTCTTTGTGCTGTGCTTTAACCCGCTGCGCCACCAGGGAGGGCCCGGGATCTGATTTTTATTGACTGCCTGGTAGGCATCGCATAGACATTATTCCACTTCATTTTCATAATAGAGCTCTCATTTTCATAGTGCTGGAACTGGTCATTCCTTTCATTTTACTTACAAAAAAGTTGAGGTTCAAGGACATGCTTAACAGTGTTGTGCATGAGCATGTGTGCAAGGATATTCACACGCACGTACATACCTGTGTCAAGTATTAAATACTCGATATTCAGTCCTCAGGCAACACCGGGCATAGGTAGTTTAGCACTCCTGTTTCAAAGATGTGCGCACTGAGGTAGCCAACAGCCCCGGATACATAGCTGGTCAGTGGTGAGTCTGGCTTTCCTGTCTCAGCTAACACTATTACCCTTTACTG